CTAAAGAAAATTAAAACAAGTTCACAAGACTCAAACTGTAGCCACTTGAATTTAGAGACCATTGCAAGAATTGATTTGACCAATTAAACACTGATGATGTAAGACATACAAATGTGGGATGACATCAAGAACATACAGAACACAATGCTAAAGGCCACTGGAATAAAGAAAGAACAGATCAAAGAGAATGTCAGAGACTCTAAAACATGTCCTTGAATATGGAGTAGCTAAAGCACATGAAGAAATAGTGATGTAAAAGAACAGAACAGAAATGTACACAGGAGGACACATTTAAATATTTTACGTAGACCTGGAGTTAGAATTCCAAAAATTAAGAACATAGTCAGTATGTTCAAGGTAAAATAATTGAAGAAAACATCCGAGCCTAAGTTGCAGTATCTAAAGATTCTATCAATAAAATACCAAATTATGTAGGAATCATCAAAAGAATATGGAAATGTTTCAGCAAATGGATGCACAAGTCTGACAAGAAAATTGGAAGAAAACCACTAGGCCAAGGACTGGAAGAGACCCACACGTGCGCCCACTTCAAGGAAAGTGAGTCAACGTAACGGGGAATTATCAGACAGTAGCATTAGTGTCACACCCAAGTAAATTTTTTCTGGAGATAATTTTTAAATGGTTGCAGCATTACATTCACAGAGAGCTTCTAAAATTCATCCTGTATTCAGAGGAGGATACGGAATGAGGAATATCATTGCTGATATTTGCTACATGTTTGCTGAAAGCAAAGACTAACAGAAATGGGAACATTCCAGAACATGTACTTGTGCTAATGCAGAATCTTTACTTAGGAGAGATGGGTAACAAACCATAAAAACATACCAGGAGACATTGCATGGTTTACAATCAAGAAAGATTTTCACCGTATTTATTCAATGTACATGCTGAGCAAATAATCAAAGAAGCTGGAGTCTATGAAGAATGCTGCACGGGGATTGGAGGCCGGCTCATTAAAAATGTGTATGTAGATGAAAAAATTTTGCTGAAAGGGAAGAGGATACAAAACACTTATTGATAAAGATCAAAGATTACAGCCTTCACTGTGAATTGAAACTCAATATAAAAGAAGCAAAACTCTTGACAATTTGACCAATAGACAACATCATAAAAAATAGAAAAAAGATTGAATTGTCAAGAATTTTATTTTTGCTTGGATCCACAATCAATACCCATCTTATTAGCAATCAAGAAATGGAACAGCATATTGCATCAGGCAGATCTGCACACGACATTTTTCTTTTTTTTTTTCTTTCAATTTTTTTAAAATCAATTTATTGGGGCTCATACAATTCATCACAATACATAGATCAGTTGTGTAAAGCACAGACATTTTTCACTGTTAAAGAGTAAAGGTGTCACTTTTAGGAGTGCCTGACCGAGCCATGGTATTTTCAGTCACAAAATAGTCGTCTTGAAACGGAACAGTGACTAAGGAAACCTGGAGAAGAATGGATGCAGCTGAGTCATGGTATTGGTAAAGATATCGGAAGTACCCGGCA